GTGGTTGGGTTCCAGAGTAAACGGTAAATGTGTTTTTCAGAAGCCAGTCAATATTCAGGTGATGGTTTCAAAGAGCCTGGGGCTCAGGTGACAGAGCTGGACTCGAGGCATGCATTGGGGGTTGTCAGCTTCAGCGTGTGCTTACAACCGTGAATGGGAGGAGTGCATCCAGGAGTGTAGGCTGCAGGTCCAGGGCTGAGACAAGGTTGGAGGAAGGCCTGGGTCATGGAGGTTTTGTGTGGTGGGCTTCACCTGTGGCTCAGCTGGTAAAGAATCTGCCTGCAATGCGGAAGACCTGGGTTCAATCCCTGGGTTGGGAAGATGCCCGGGAGAAGAGAATGGCTACCCACTCCAGTATTCTGGCCTGGAGAATTCCATGGACTCAATGGTCCACGGGATTGCAAAGAGTCAGACACGACTGAGCGACTTTCACTTTCACTTTCTGCGGTGTTTGGGGTTTTAGTAGCAGCTGCCATTTACCCTTAGGGCCTGGGAGGTGGGGCAGCCTCTTAAGAAGTCGGAAGGGAAAGACATGGTCAGATGTGCATCTTAGGAAGATGCTCTGGCAGCGGGTGGAGAAAGCTGGAGCTGGAGTGGCATGGGGGGCGGAGAAGGTGGGTCACATGCACCCTTGAGGTGGGGAGGAAGGCCTGGGGAGGTGCAGAGCCCCCGGCGGGTCCAGTGGACATGAGCAGCTCACACCCGGTATCTGAGGACAGTGGATGCACACTGGGAGGGGGGGCTGCCATCCAGAAGGATGGTTGGGTAGTTCTGGAATAGTCTTTCCCCTCAAAATAGACTTAAACCCAGATCTCTTAAGAACACTGATAGTTACTATGGAGGAAGCAGTTCTTTTTTGATCCTACTGTGGTGGATACACAGATGAATAAGACTGTCTGTCCCAGAAGCTTGATACTTGTTAGGGGGAGTATGCCAGTTTAAAAGGGGAGAAGGGCGGAGGAGGGAAGCTAGCAAGGTTCTATGTCAGGCACTCCCCCGCCCCCATATTCCATTCACGCCACATGGATGCCATCTGAGGTGGGGGTGGCAGCCACCTTTTGCAGAGCGTGGAGCATTCTCAGGGGGGAAGCCGTCAGCTCGGCGTCACAGGGCTAGTGAATGCTAGAGTGGGATTCAGGCCTTTTCAGCCTGCAGGATGTGTTCTCTCTCCTAATCCTGTTACCTCCCTGTTGTGTCTGGAGGGTCAAGTGGACCAGTTTGGAGCCTCTCAGAGAAAGCCTCAGACTTGCGGGCTGCAGGTCTGTCTCACGAAGCTCAGCCGTGTCTGACGGTTGGGCAGCACCAGTGTACTTTGCGTCCCAGGGGCAGGTGTTGGTCCCACTCCTCCAGTGATGACATGCTTGCAAAGGACGCACATGTGCAGTCATCCTTCGACCATTCTGAGTGTGCGGTGGAAACTGTTCAGGCCTCCTTTGATCAGCTTTCCTCAGCAGAACCTAACTCTTCTGCAGGGTGGGCTGGGGCTCTCTTTATGTAGCGAGGGTTTAATATCCAGTGTTAGTATAAAAGAGTTCGGATGGAGAAAACCGACGTTAACTATGTTTAAATTTTGTAAGGCGAGATGCAGTGTCAGTGAATGACCCGTGCAGCACCTGAAATCGAGTACAGAACTCTGCGTTTCTCATGTTCTAGTTAGAGCTGTTGGTGGACAGAGGAGCCTGGCAGGCTGCAGTCCACAAGGTCGCCCAGAGGCGGACACGACAAAAGTGACTTAGCATGCATTGTGTAGAGTTGTCTACTTTGCAACTTCAGCTCCACCAAAGGGGCACCTGTCAGTGTGTTGATGTGATTGCATTTACACAGTGCACGTAATCTAGGCTTTTTCAGCCCCTCATATTCTAGTGCAGAATCATGGGCTGTAGCGGTCACTTAATTATGCAAATGCTTATAAAACTATATAATACCAAAAGCAATAAGAGATTACCTTCACCAGAGTTCCTTTGGGTTTTAGTTGCAAAGTGTGGTTGAGCAGCTCTGGTTTCCCTTTGAATATGTAGTTTCTTTGCAAGTAAATTGGACTTTGGGTTAGAATGTACCATGAGCCGTGTAAATAGTACCCAGAGCACACAATAAGGCACATTTTCTTCCTCCTTCTGATCAGAAGTAATGGGAATCACGCAGTGTGTACTTTAGTTGAGTCGTCCTTAGTGTTAAGTGTGGCATGAGCATCTCCGTGGCAGTGTTCATGGCTGTGTTAGATGCTTCCCGAAAGGATGCATCTCCCTTTATCTGAGGAGGCCGGCAGCTCTGTGGCTGTGCTTTAGCCATGATTGATTTGAGGCCTTTATGACTTAGGGCTTATTGGGTTTTTATTAATTTTTCTATCAATCCTCTATTCCAGTTCCTTTAGCCCTAGTGTTTATAACTCGTTAAGAATAAGGAAATAACATGAGTTGCTCTTTGAAGTGTTTAGAGCATATTCACATTTTTGGCTACGTTCTGTTGCTCCTGCCTTTAAAATTCACCATTAGTTTTAAAATTTGCAACAAATTACGACCTGTTTTGAACATTTGCATTTTGCATTAACTTTACATTTATTTGCTGCTGTGGCTTCACATTGCGTTTTTCTTTGTCACACTGTTTGCTTGTATGTTTTGTTTTTCCATATCCATGAGCAGTGGTCACACAGTGTAACAGTGCTAATAATGTATTTGTAAGAACTCTGAACTTCCATAGAGACTTAAAAAGAAAACAAACCTGACATCATTTTCAAATGATCCATGAAGAAAGAAAGGATCCACGTCTTTTTGGAAGGAGAATTTTATTTTATTTTAAAAATTTTTTTTATTTTATTTTTTCACGATGAGCATTCCCATTCATAAAAATATGGAACGCTTCATGAGTTTGCATGTCATCCTTGCGCAGGGGCCATGCTAATCTTCTCTGTATCGTTCCAATTTTAGTATATGTGCTGCTGAAGTGAGCACTGGAAGGAGAATTTTAATGAGAAAGCTTATGTTGCAAATTCTGCCAAAATTGGCTTAAAATATTTTGGTTGTCCACACCGCAGCTAACTGGAAATAGAATTGTCTTCGTTCCTTTATCTGTTTCCCACTGTCTTTTCAAAGGGTGATGAGCAGGATTGCTCGTAGTCTCGAGATGACCCACAGCATCCAAGACTGATATAATTCGTGTCCATCTATGCTAGAATTTTATTTGTATGGCATTTTGGAGACTTCTCCCGAGTATTAGGATTCATTCTATTTTTATATAATTCAAAATATTTTATATTGTTGTGTTGCATCATATAACCTTTATATGAAAAACCGTAAGCATATTTAGATGACTTCTTTTTGCAAAAATCCTGTATTTTCAAAGCCAGCTCTTTCTGAAACTGTCCTGGGCTATATTTTGCTACAGCAGATGTGCACCTTTGTAAGTTTGTACGGAGATGTAATAATTTACTTTGTTTAGAGAGGTAAGACAGGATGCTTTAAAGCAAATTTTAGTCTTAACAGGAAAGGAGTAAAGTCTCCTAAGAAAAAGTGTAATTCAGAATCTGTTGAGTCAGTATTGTGGTGGGATCTGTAAACCGCCACGTGTTAGGAGTCCACAGTCATGTGAGTGGAGAAGGCGAGTGTGCCTTCGGAGGCTGCATCCTTTTCTGGTTAGAACAGGAGACACTGCAGGGAATGGGCCATGCGCCACCCACCTTTGGGAGGGAGAGGCCCCACAGGTGCAGAGGCTGGAGGCAGGGAAGGCTTCCTTGAGAAACTGAGTCAGAATGAGTCCTATGGCCAGTGGGAAGTAGCTTGGCAGAAGAGCCAGGCCCCTGGGGTGACTGGGGAGGCTGGGGAGGGCAGGGGAGGGGGGCTGGAGCTGTACTGGGGAGCCTTGGAAGGCTTTGAAGTGGGGGGTGACCTAACCAGTATGCTTTGGGAAGGCCCCTGGGGGTGTGTGTGGGGTGTGTGTGTGTGTGTGTGTGTGTGTGTGTAGCAGGATGGAGGTGAGGGTGCTCCAGAGCGGGAGGGGCGTTGGAACACAGGAGAGGGCCGTTGAGGTGACCGGTGGGGGGCGATGTGGGTCTGCTGGGGGCTGGCGGGTGGTTTAGGTGCAGCGCCCTCCTAGGCGGAGGCCTGTCAGCGGGGGCTGTCCTGGCAGAAAGGTGGGGATCAGGCTCACATTCCTCTTCTCTCCTTCTCTGCCTTATGTGATGATCTTAGTTCAACCAACATTGGGAACAGAAAAGCTCCATTCCAGAGTTAGAGAGGACGGGATTTAAGTTTGTCCTGGGATCTGTACATTCATTTAGCCAGAAGCCTCACATCTTTTGGATTAACATAGGAGTTTTTAGTTCTTGATCAGATTGCTTTCTTGGTGAGAGGAAATTTAATATAGCTGCTGTTTTGCTTGAAAAGAAATCTTATCTTTAAAGAAATTTAATATTCAAAAGAACAGGAATATTTAAAATGATGAAGTGAGATATTGGTATGGTTTCTCTGGTTTCTGAGTTGATATGGAGTTAGAAGCTGTTGCATTATTTAGTAGCACATCCTTGCCAATATTTAAAGAGCTGTTAGTGAGTGTTCTGGGCCCCACCATTCAAAGCATCATTAAAGCTTGCTCTGAACTCGTGAAGATAAAGGTCTTGTTTGCAAAAGCCAAATAGTTGGCTTGTAATGTGCAGCACAGCTCTCTTTATAAAATAATAATAGGTTTGAAGTTAAGAAAGTGGAAGATAATTGATTTTTTTAAAAGGCCGAAACAAACTTTCTTGTGCTAATGTTATGATTGGAAAATTTGAAATGAAAAAGCCTCCTCTAATATTATCCACATGAAATACATGTACTGTATTACATTTAGAAAGTAACTTGGCTCATATACTGGCAATGATGGTGGCTGGCTTTCAACCGTAGAGCCTAACATTGCCTTCTTAGCGTTTTTTGTAGTGAGAGAGCTGAAGAGTGCTTGGCCAGCATGCTTTTGGGGCCACATCCGGGCATTGGCAATGACACATTTCCGTGCACCTTATCTTTCAGACATTACAAGAAGCGGTGCCAGGGGCGCATGCGGAAGCACGTGGGGGACTTGTGCCTGCAGGCCGGGATGCTGCAGGACTCCCTGGTCCACTACCACGTGGCGGTGGAGCTGCTCCGCTCGGTGAATGACTTCCTGTGGCTTGGAGGTGAGAGGACCTGGGTGAAGACGACCACATACGCCGTGGTAGCAACTGATGTGTGGAAAAAGAGAAAGCCTTGGAAAAATGGCTCTAAAAACACAGGGTGAGGGCGAGAAAGCTGTCGCTGAGCTGGCTGCAGTGGGGAATCTTCGGGGTGACGGCCTCACCCTTTCCCACTCGCACCTGCATTTCCATCCTGCTGAATCCAGGATGGAGGCTCTCCCTAAGATGCACCGAACTTTCTTGTTGCTTTGTTTTTTTTTTTTTGCTTTCTATTTATTTATTTTTTAAAGCCTCCTTGGTGGCTCAGTGGTAAAGAGTCCTCCTGCCAGTTTAGGAGATGCAGGAGACATGGGTTCAATCCCTGGGTCGGGAAGATCCCCTGGAGAAGGAAGTGGCAACCCACTCCAGTCTTCTTGCCTGGAGAATCCACGGACAGAGGAGTCTGGTGGGCTACAGTCCATTAGGTTGCAAAGAGTCAGACATGACTGAGCGACTAAACAACAATTTTTTAAAGCACATCTTGCCCTCTGCTTAGAATGCCACTCCTCACGTTAGTCACCTCTTAGATTCATTCTTCAAAACCTCATCCATAGGTCAGCTGATGAATGGATGAACAAAATGCGGTGCATGCATATAGTGGAACACTGTTCAGACATAAACAGCAGTGAGATAGTGATACCACCACCACAAGGACAAACCCTGATAACATCATGTCAAGTAAAAGGAGCCATACACAAAAGGCCGCCTAGTGTGTGACTCTGATGATCTGAAACGTCTGCACAGGCAGACCTGAGGCTGAGCAGATGACTGGTTGTCTGGGCTGGGAGATGGGGATGCGGGGGAAGGGGGAGATGGGGATGGGGAGGGTCTGCTGATGGGAGAGGGCTTTCTCTGCCGGAGATGGAAAGGTTCTGGGATTATACAGTGGCAAGGGTTGCACAGCAGTGAACGCACAAAACTGCTGAATCGTATACTGTTGACTGGGTGAATTATATCTCAACTAAAAAAACTTAAAAAAAGCTGCTTCAAAGGACAGCCTCTTCTGACGCCTCCACGCAGTGGGTGCAGTGGTCTTGTACAGAATCCCGTCTGCACGGAGTTTACTTTCCATGCTGGGGCTGCCTGTTGGCGTGTTTTTGTCCTTCAGGGACTGTCTCCTGCAGGCGGGAGTGGGAGGCGTGGTCTGTGCGTGCCTATCAGCGAATGTGTTGTAGGTGTTCCGAAAATGCTTGTTAAATGAGTGCAGTGCCAGTGAGCCCTGAAATAGGGCTCTTTCCTGGAAGAGGCCAGCAGCTCAGTCAGAGGGCCCATCAGCCACTTACAGTAAATACAAGCCAGAAGGAAGCAGTGAAGTTCTTTAATACAAGATTAGCGGCGTCCCATAGAACACACTTGGAGAGGGAAATGGCAAACCACTCCAACATTCTTGCCTGGAGAATCCCATGGGCGGAGGAGCCTGGTGGGCTACATACAGTCCGTAGAATGGCACAGAGTTGGACATGACTGAGCAACAGACATAGAACACACTAAATGTAAATTTTAAAATGGACTTGAATTTTGTAATTTGGCTTCTTAAAGGAGATAGGGAAAGAGAAGGAACAGATGGAAAAAAATGAGAAACTGGTAAAGGACTAAGCAGGAGGAAGACGGCGAGTCTTCCTGTCTCCTGAAGGAGAGGTCTGTACCGAATTGTTCCGGGCTGGTGGAGTAGGGTTGCCGCCTAGGCACTTGCCCCCAGAGAATGCCACTGGGCCCCTGTCCCACCTAGTGAGGAAGGCCGGTCAGGTTCCGTGAAGGTGGTGTGAGTGGGAGACCCTGGCGCGGGTGGCCTTTTCATTCTGGGTCCCTCAGAAACATGCGGGGGGGGGGGGGGTCTCCCAGGGACCCCAGGACCTGTGATGTCACAGCAGATCGACCACAGAAGCAGGTGTGAGAATCCAGCACACTTGTCTCCAATCAGACATTAAGGAATTTGTAAAAAATGCAAAAGTGTCACACTTCCAGCATATCGTTTTTGTTCTGAAGCATAGTTATTATTCATTGAAAGTTAGCATGTAACGGGCTTATTATTTTCTAAAATGTTTGAACACATAAATATTTAAATCTTCTTCCAGTTTTATTTTCAAACATGGTAAGTATCTGCAGTTGTAACCTGCACAAAAAAAGCATCCAGGAATTCTGAGACCAAAACGTTTGAGAACCTCTGAGCTGCTGGATAAAGACGAACACTGCACAGGACTTGTGGGGCGGGTGGCCCAGCCCGAGGTTGTTGGGGTGTGACTTCCAGCAATGGAAGGTGGGCACGTCACAGCAGCCCCGCGGGGCCCCCTCTGAGGAGGAGACGGCCTGCCAGGGGTTTGCTTCAAATGGGTGGATGCTGTCAGGGTCAGTGATGCGGAGAGGTGTTCTTCTGGTCCTGCGGTATGGTCCACTGGTATGGTTTCAAGGATACTTTTGACGCGGGGCACTTTCTGCTCTGCCCACCTGCAGTGTCGTCCTCCGGCACAGAGCTTGCCGCACAATGTGAACTGGACTGACTGCTGGTGAAAGGAATGAACGGCCTGTTTGGCTTGTGCTCAGCCCCTCACTGAGACCTTGAGCATCATGAGAGCTTTCTGTGCTGCCAGCTTTGACCCAGGCCCACCAGACACGATAGGGGCTCTGGTCCTGTTTGTGACAAAACCAGCCATCTGTAGGTTTGACCTGTGTTTTGGGGGAAAGCTGGCACTTTCCACATCATCAGACTGCTCACATCATTCTTGGCGTAATTTTTGGCTAATGGTGGGCTGCGAGCTCTATTAACTGAGCCCTTTGTTTAATGCCCAGCTGCTCTGGAAGGGCTGTGTTCGGCCTCTGTCATCTATCACTACCCTGGTGGGACTGGCGGTAAAACTGGAGCTCGCAGGTTCCCGGGGAGCGTGCTTCCTGCAGAAGCGGCCAACAGACATCGACCAGGTGAGCTCCACCCCTGCCCTGGGCTGGGCCCCGCGTCCTCAAGCAGGAGCAATTTCTGTAGTCCCCTCTGAGCGAAGGCTGCCTGCTGTTTGAATAAAGAGTAGAATCTGCTGAATCAGAAACCCTGCAGTGAGGCCTTGTCTTCTGATCCTGTTAAAATACGTATTGATCTTATTAAGTCTTATCAAATGGTATTAATGGATTGCAATGATGTGTTGATTTCTGGAGCAGCTGTATGAAATTCCATGGTAGGCCGACTTTGAAGTTCCGTGTTTGGGTCCTCGTCATTGTTTCTGGGTATCTGGTGAAGGGAGTCCTTGATGTCAGTTTTAACAGGCAGCTGAGGGTCCAGGGGCTGGTTTTTTTTTTTTTTTCTGGTTGATGGAGTTCTCTGAATCAGTGAACTTTGATTTGCTGATGTTTTGTTAGCATCTAGAGAGAGTAAAAAATCATCTTTGGAGGAGCAGACCCAGAGACGCTTGTTCTGTGAACTTGACCCTTTTGACCCTTAGCGAATGAATTTGCCATAAACATTCAGGATATAGTTGTGCTACCTCACAGGTCACAAAGATAGTAACAGAATGCAGAGGTCAAGGCTATACATAAAACTAATAGGTGTTTTTTGATCCATGAGATTTTTATAGATTTTTTTTTAACCCTCAAAGAGAAAGCCCATGACAGTTGATAAGTATTGGAAGGGAAATGCCTTACATTTCTTTTTCCCCTCAGTTTCACCATTTTCCCCGACACCAGCAAAGACTGCGGAGACCACCTTTATGAGTCAGTCTTTGTAGCTACTTGGTCTGAATTCTGTGTCAAACTGCTTAGATAAGGCTCTGATGGCTCTCGAAGATGTTTTATCATCCTTCAGCAGACCATTCTTAACGGGTCTAGTGGGGCTCAGTCACTGGAGAGCAGGGTAAAGCAGGTGAAGTGATGAAATCTGAGGTCTAGAAGGCCTCTGCTCCCCACTGCCCCGTGTTCTGGTTCTGACTGGGGATGCCTCTGGTTGGTGCTCACCACCTGTGTTTTTCCCGTGTTGTTACAACTGCGACAAGATTTCGGCATTTCAGCCAGTAGCCCAGTGCTTAAATCCCCAACCCAGGGGACAGCCGACTTCTCTCCTCTGCAGAGTCTGCTCGCTCTCGCCGCTGCTGCTGCTGAGTCGCTTCAGTCGTGTCCAACTCTGTGCGACCCCGTAGATGGCAGCCCACCAGGCTCCTCCATCCCTGGGTTTCTCCAGGAAGAGCACTGTCTCTGGGATGCCTTTTGTTTTATCCTTTCCCTGAGATTTGGAGAGAAAATGTGGTACGACTGTGCCACTCACATGACTAGTGAGATTCTGGAGACCTTTTAGGGTAATGTTCAGTCTCTCCTGCTGAATAAAGGCAAAAAAAATGTCTTAAACCTGAAAAGTGCTCTGTCTGCAGTAGAGAAAAGTCTTATTTAGCCTTGCGTGGTGTGCAGCACTTGAGAACTCTTATTGTTGGAGGCAGCCCGAGGAGAAGGTCGCCCAGCCAGGCTCGGATGGGAGCAGAAAAGCCACGCTGCCCTTGTTTAGATGGGAGATGGTCTCACCGCCTTTCAGGCAGTAAAGGGCCCAGAGCTGTGCGTGCGTTTGACATCATGAGCATCTGTGTCCGTGTTACTTCATCTTGGGTACAGATTTCAAGATTAGTCAGTTTGTAGTGGTCGCCCCATCTCATACCAGGAGTTTACGGATCTGCTCTTTGAGATTAAGATGAGACAATCTGATTGTTTAACATTCTTCCTTGAATTTCTGTCTCAGGTTCCTCCTTCACCAGCAAAGCAGTGAAAATACAGATGTCCTTTAATGCCGATGTGACCTGGAGCCAGTTTAATCTCTGTGCCTCAGTTTCCCTACCTGTGAGATGGGGGAGATAACAGTTGTATTTCCCTCAGCGGGTCCTTGTGAACGCTGAGTGAGACACACGTGGAAAGGACCTGCACAGTCCCAACCAGTCCTGGATAAATGTTGGTGGCTGTTATTGTCAATAGTGTTATTGTTGATTGTCGAGTAGTTTTAAGACTTGGTGATATGAATCCATGAATAAAGTTAAAAGACTCTAGATATCTCAGATCTGCTTTATGTACTTTTCAAGATTTCACTTGAGAAAAGGGATTTTTTTCCCCCCTTAAAATTGAGTTTAGTTTCAAAATGCATTCTATAGTCCCTCTTTTCACTTTAATTCTCCTTCCATTGATTTTTTTTTTTTTTTTTTTTGACAAAACTTCACTTTCTTGTATTCAGAGGTTAGAGGCCACTCATTGTTTTTCTGGAGACTTGTTCATGAACCTTTAAGCCTATAATTAATGTACAAAACTTGCTTTATTAAAAAATCAATAGGACATCGTACAATCAGTCCAAAAGGAAATGCTTATTGGCTTACAAATATTCCTCCTTTTTGGACTAGCTTAAATTACTAACAGCAAGCATCATCACCCGTAATCGCCAAAACAGCCAGGAAGCATTTGGCACCTCCCCCCAGCCAAGCTGTGCTAACTGCTTCCTTAGGTTTTACCCCATAGCAGGTATTTGAAGGTAGTTAGCAGTAACTCCTTTTTGCAGGCGAGGGACTGAGGTTTAAGCAGATGGGTCACTTGGTCTGAATCACGCTGCTCTCAGGGGCAGACTTGGGGCTGGAGCCAGGCCGGGGTGACCACCAGTGTGCGTCCTCAGTTGCTCCTCTAATCAGCCTCCCGTTGACTGGCTTCCCAAACTGCAGCGTGTTCATAAATGACTGGCTTTAGTGATCTCAGCCTGATGAGGCCTTCAAAGCAGAGATCCTGGTGAGAACACCAGACAGAGTGGCATAGATTAACATTGTATATTTTCGCAAATGTTTTATTCTCAGCTAATGACCTAAAAAGTTAGGATTTTTTAACTCTATAAGCACGAAAAACAAAACATTGAAAGTGATTACAGTGCAAACAGTAAGTGGGCTTTGAAAATGCAAACCTACCACTTGTTTTTCTCTCGTGAGGCTTGTTGAAAGGAAAAGTTATAAAGACTGAATTGGTTTTATGTAGTCTATAGTATGGAAGAAAGGATTAAATCACTGAGTGTTGAGGGAAAGTTAAATTTTTATTGTTTTCTCTCCTTATGATAAATATGCAAGATTTTTTTTTTAATGGCTTAAGTATATTTCCTCATTTGTGAAATTTGAAGAATGTTATTTACCTTGCCTGACTGAGTCAGATACCTTGTATTAAGCACCCAAGAGATGTTCAGTAAAAACTTGCTGTCACAATGACAGATAATTTAGAAGCATCAACTGAAATACTGATGCATATTCACTGTGTATATACTTTATATGAATGTGACTTAAAGTGACAAGGATTCAGTTACTTCTTTTTTTAGTGCAGTAGGAGGTTTTGATGAAATGAGTGCCTTCCTTTAGCTAGGGACTAGCTAAATGGTCGAAAGCTGAAGAACTTGAAGATTATTTGTATAGAACATACATTTTTTACAACTCATAATCCATATTGCTGTGTAATCATCCACAAGAACCTCTTAATTGCTAGGAATTTGACCACAGCCACTGGCCCTTAGAAAAATCACTATTGATTACTTTGAGAGAATAAGCTTATTTCTTTGGTAGTTAAAATTCCGATTTTTTTCCTGTACCCTTAAATCGGTTTTAAGTAATCAAAATGTTGATTTGACAGCTGTCACTTTTCTTTTATAGAGAGACTAAAAGTAGAGCTCATAGTGTTTTAATATATAAATAAATGTTTAATTTATTTCAACAAGATTGTATGGTTTACAGTTAACCACTCCTTGGGAGTGTCTCGAATGGTAAACAATGCAGAAGATCCAGGTTCGATCCTCGGTCAGGAAGATCTCCTGGAGACAGGAATGGTAACCCACTCCAGTCTTCTTGTCTGGAGAACTCCATGGACAGAGGGTTCTGGTGGGTTATAGTCCATGGGGTCGCAGAGTCAGACATGACTGAGTGACTTTCACTACTTTCCTGCTGCTCTTGGGGAAATGTTTTGCCAGACACTTGGATGAGCTGCTCGTGGAGGCCTGCAGACCCGCCTTTCATGAATGCAGAGCTGGCACAGCTAGTGCAGAGCCTGAGGATGTGCAGAGCTTCACAGCTGCCTGCTGGGAGGACCGCCTGGGTCTCAGCCTCCCCGCCTGTAAGATGAAGAGGCGGATTCCTTCTTCTTCTAAGATCAGTTTCCACGAGGCTGTGTCTTTTGTTTATGTTCAGGAATGTTAACAATTTCAGATTAAATACTGAATTCTACTCCCTCCCCTGAAGCAGAATTCAGTGTTTGCTAGTAGTATATAAGCTTTGAGTTATAGGCTCTGAGTCTCCTATTTTTGAAACCCTTTTATTAATCCTTTATTATACAGAAAGCCTTCGGGCCATAGGTGGCGCTGTTGCACCTTTAAAAAGTCTTCATTTTCCTGTTTGTGGAAGATTTAACTGACAGTTCTTTAATTTGACTTTGTTTAGTGCTTCAGGATAGCACATTGTCCACTATGTCTGGTTACCTGGAAGAATTATTCTAGTTATTTATACCTTATTTTTATTCTGTCATCTCAGTGTGAAAATTTCAGGCTTGCTGTGCAAACAATGGCGAAATTGGACTTTTCTTCCAATATTAGAAACCAGTGAGCCGTGACTTTATAAAACAGAAGTGGTCCCTGGAGCACCTTAAAGCAGAAAAATGTGTTGAACTCTCTGAGTATTGAACCCTCTGCTGTGCATTAATCAGTGGGACGTGATTTGGTTGGTGTAGGAGGGAGGGTGGTTTTTTGACTTGGGTTGAATTCACATGCTCTCCCTTTAGCCATGCCAACTTGAGTCATTTCTTTCTGAGTTTCCCCCTTGTGTGTAAAATAGAGATGCTACTGCCTGCTTTGTAGAATGGTGAGAACTAGAAGTTATGTGAAGTGTTTAGCATGGTGGTTATCTCAAAAGAGCACAAATCCTTAGCTCTTGTTTGGCGTGAAGCCATCATTTTACAGTCTTTAGCAATTACGAAGGAATTAAAACAGGGAAAGCTGGTTTTATGATGAAAGATCCAATTAAGAAATGGGTAAAATATTTGAAGAGGGTCAGTGGTTCCTGTACTCATAATTTTGCAGCAGCATCGGAATGAGGCCGCTATACAGTCACCCTGAACATTAAGCCGTACCATTTTTGGCTAATTAATTCATGTTGGGGCTCAGGTGGGCCCAGTAATTACACTCCTATTTTCTCCACAAGCCAACTGAGAGATGGGGCAAAAGTGTAGAGGCTGGAGGAAATGCTCTCTTTTTACCGATAAGGCCTCATTCTCCGTGCACTTCAGGGCTTCGGGGAAACGGGTGTCTTAATATTGTGTCCTGGAGCTGGAGAGGCCGCTCCGGGCCACAGCGGGCCCTCGTGAGGGGACCTGTCCCCGCTGTGCTCGGGGCTGTCACGTCATGGAGCTGAGCATCCTGGGCGCTTCCCGAGCGGGGCCAGCACCTGTGCTAGAAAGGTTTCCCGTGTCCCCCTTGTCTCCCAAACTCCCCGAGCCCACTCCTTAGCCCGTTTGTGTGAGGAGGGCTGGCTGTGGGTCAGAGGTCAGGAGCGTGGAGGACGAAGCCCGTGGGGTCACAAAACAGTTGGTCACAACTGAGCACGCACACACGCTTCATAGGCTCCGTTTGTGAGCACCTGAAGTGTGCTGCATACTTTCTAAGCATCTTACAGGCACTGCTTTAATCCCGTAATCCTCACAACCATCAAGTGAGGTGGGTTTGATTATGATCCCAGTTTTACAGATGCGGGGATTGAGGCACAGAGAGACAGGGTAAGTGATTTGACCAAGGTCACAGAGCTGGCAAGCAGCAGAGCTGGGATTCAAACCCTGGCAGTCTGGCTCCAGGCTTTGAGTTCAGCCTGTCTGTGGATCTGTACATACACCTGTCCATCGGTCAGCCTGGAAACGGCGGGAAAGGGAGAGTTACACAGGCATTCACAGCTGTGTCTCAGCCAGGGTCCATGCACCGTGACCCTCATTTTTCGTGGTCTAAGCAGCAGGTCTGTTCGAGTTTGGTTAATCTGAAACCTGTCCATTGGATGTGGATGATGCTGATAATATAATTTCTGAGCACACTAAGGTACCCATGGAGCTCTGGCTGGACGATGTCCTGTTTCTCATTGTGATTTCTTCAGACAGTGCCAATTATTATCTCCACACCCCCTCACACACGGACATGAGATGAGAAGCTTCTGAGTAGCCCAGAGTTAGCAGAGCCCACCAATCAGAAGACTGTCATGTACCTAGAAGTGGGTTTAATGAAAGGAAAGAGATTCCAGGGAGTTCAGTTAAAGTCCAGCTGGTAGAAAGCAGTCCATTTTTTGTGGCTGAGCTTGTTCTTTGTTGTTTGAGAAGATCGGATTAGATGAATTAGCTTAAAAGGCAGAAAAGGGTCATTTCAGATGGTACATTCACACCAGTAAGAAGTGGTAGTTGACCGCCTGGGTGAGTCATGAGATAGAAAGATTTTTACAAACTTCATAAAATAGCCTGAAAAGCTCTGCAGTCTCAGTGCAGTTAGCATGGGACCCCCTTCATCCCTGGACGCCCTTAGGGGTTGAGTAATTGATGATTGTGATAATGATTCTGAGGCATCAAAAGGAAAAAGGTCTCCTATTTAAAGGATGTGGCACAGGATACTATATTTGACCAGAGTTTTCACTGAGCAGGGCGTTTTTAGCACATCTGGAAATCCCGAGCTCCCCAAGGTTCCCCGCAGCCAGTACCCTCTTGGTGTGGACTTGGTGGCGTTGTCGGGGGCCGTGATGAAGTTGCTCCCCTGGCTCCCCGTCCGTCCATCAGTCCGTCCGCCCCACAGCCTTTCTCATCCCCACCTGCCTTGTAGGGCTGCCCTGACAGTCACACGTGATGGTTGTCAGGCGTTGCGTTCGGTGTATAGTGTTAATGATGGAAAGCACCTGTTTCTTCTTATAATGGTGGTTTCTGGATTGCAGTGATTTTTAGTCTACATTTAAAAATAAAGATTGCAGTACACAAAGTCGCTCTTAAGTAGCATCCTGGGAGCTGTTCTCTGTGTGGACAGTTGAATACATGTGCTATTTCAATACAACTGTGTTATTGGGACGCAGCTTTGTGAATCTTGTTAATGTGTTTAAAAACTATCAGAGCTGATGATCGGCAGAATTCTTGGATCCAAGTGCCTCTTACGGTGTGATTTGCCATCGTGAGAAATTGCACTCTACGGAGAAGGCTAACTGGATCTTGTTGATATTTGGATGATTCAGCAGATGATCGAGGCTTTCAAAGCCTTCTTGATAATTAATGAAGTTAACAGTTTTGTGTTGTAGACTGACTACAGAGCTACCTTCTAGAAATTGAAAATCCTCAACTTGTGAAGTGTCCAGTAATTCAGTGTGTGTGTGTGAGTGCATGTGTGTGTGTGTGTGTGAGTGTGATTTCAGGAAAGGAGAAATAAGTTCCATGTAGCCATCTGATACCTTTCTCCTTCAGACCAAGGTGTGGGCATTTATTTACACAAATAAATTGGTAGTTCACTTTCACTTCTGTCATTTGGCATATTTGTGGGAATAAGAAATTGTCATACTTGTTTCAGAGGAGTCGGGGAGTATGAGCTTAGAAAGTGGGGTGGGAAGCAGACAGGGAGGCACATTATGCTTTGTGCAGGGTATGAGAACCATTAGCTTTCCTTTTTTTCCTTCTAAAGCATAAAGGCATTGAATTGTAACATACTGTTACTCAGAATTGTTTTTCTGATCAGACAGAAGTGTCTCAGATTTTTCAAGGCTATGCGAATTATGAAATGTGATTTAGTAGTTATCTTTAAAAGTGGTTTTGTTTTTCAGATAAAAGATCATAATCTGTTCTTTCTTCCAGGGGCCCAAGAAGTTCTCATTGACCCAGGTACATGATCTATGTGCTTAGTTTCTCTTGGTTATTTTTTTTAAGTGCTTGTTTCATGGTGGTGTGAATGAATGGTTAAAGTTTCTGGATTGTGATCTTTGGAACGTGCTGATTTAAGTAACTTTAAATCAGAACAGTTACAAACGTGATCGCTGTTTGTTCCTTGTTTGATGGGGCACCCTATTGATTTATGTTGTCTGTCCAAGAGGGGAGGTCCTTCCTCCAGCATGGTTAAGTGAATGATTTGCAGTGTGCCTTTAAAATTCTCTGAATGCACTGAGCATGCCTGTCCAGTTAATTTTGAAGTCATGATTCTGCTCTGATTCTGTGGCTTACGCTCCTCAATGTGAATTTGAACTCTCTGCTGCATTTCGTGTGTGTGCTAACAGGGAAAGACATTGTGCATTTTTTTTTTTTTTTTGCAGAGGTGGGTTTTCCTTTCCCATCTTAATGTCTTCTTTAATTAATATAGCAAAAATCTCTTTTATTGCAGTGTGTAAGTATTTCAAAATGAGATCTATTATTTTCTGGCTTAATTGGAAACAATGACAGAGTCATTAAAAAAAAGAAAAAGAAAACCCTCCCATCCTTTGAAGGATAGAAATCAGGTGGTCATGCTTACATGTGCTTTGTGACCAACACACCTTCTTTCATCTCATTGTATATCTTGCTTCTGAGATGAAACTGCTTCAGGTTTGTAGATTTTTGTTTTAACGTTTGTGTTGCATTCTTCCTCTAGGCTGATGTTCCTGATGGAGTTTGTGGAAGTGTTTCTCTTCCTATGTGTAGGAAGGGAAGCAGATGCTTTGTAGTGTTTTCAGGAGACCCGAGTTGCTGATGAGAAAGCAGCTGAGGTTGGGCTTTGTAGCTGGACACTCCTGCACCTCCTGGCTGAAACCGATGAACAATGAAATCAGTGTTAGATGTTTTGGTGTTCGACCAGTAGAAGTTATCAAGGCCACACTGGCTGATTTCGCCTGACGGGAAGTCCTGGATTCACTTGCAGGGGAACTGGGTGCTTTACTAAGTAGAAGGAGCTTAGAGATGTCAGAAAAATCAGTCACACGTTGAGATTAAAGGAAGAATGTAATATGTTTTACTTCTGCAACTTTCCAAGATAAGGTGGTATTGAGATGAAAGTGAGTCTTGAGTAAGTGAGAGAGTGGTGGGGGTGTTTCTGTGGGCACTGTTGTTCAGGCGCATGTCAGGATCCCGTGGGGGAGCTTGAAGCTGGCCCGAGAGCCGGGGTCTGGTGTCCCAGGGCGCCCTCCGTCATGGTTCTAGGCGAGAAGGATGCAGCCTGGGCCTCTCCTCCCCCAGGGAGAGCGAGGGGAGGTTGAGATTCTGTACCCACCCCCCAGTCCTTTCATGCCCCGGGCCACACCAGTTCACCAGGCGCCTTCTAGCCTGTGCTCGCAGGGCCTTTGTCCAGGGCTGGCCGCGTCCTCTCTTCACTCGCCAGTGTCTCCTGTCTCAGACATTAGGTTCGTCTCCTCTGCCCTCGGAACCCGTGTGGATGGGAAGCCTGCTGGTGGGGAGCTGTGCGCTCCACCTCTGCCTCTCGACGACTGGTGTCCTCTCGTTTGGCTCCATAGAAAACCCAGCCCGGAGCTAGATCACTGCCTTTTAATCTTTGAACTTTCAGGGAATGAGTTACGTGAAGCAGACTGTCTCAGGTTTTTGCTTCCCTCTTTCCGCACAGCATCTCAGGCTGGAAGGAGGAGTTGGACAGCCCCTGGCTGCTGGCTCCGGTGCGTGTTTGGTGGGGCACAGCAAGAGCGAACCTGGCTTCTCCTCCAGCCATTTCTCACAGCTCAGCTTCCGAGCCCTTATTGGCATTTGCAGCAGAATGCTTCGTGGTGTCACACTGTTATTTCTTGTCATTTCTGAGTGTTTTGTGAACATTGAGCCCCCGTTTCCAGTGATGTGATTTTTTTGTCCAATTCAGTCTACTCAAATTTGCTTTTCCCATTTTCATGTTGACGGGAGTTTCTTCTTCCTGTAATAAAAGTGAGCAGTTTGCACTTAGAATGTCAAAGAACTGGTCCAAGGGGCTTTTTTACTCTTAACAGTTTTAATGCAGTTCACCCACTAAAATATACAGAGGTTCCACTGGATGCCCAGAGTGCTGTGTCACCATCAGTCTTGGACGTTTTCATCACCCGAGTCACCCCCGTTTTCCCTGACCTCCCCCGCCCCAGGCAGCAATTCTTCTGTCTCTCTGGATTTGCCTGGTCTAGACATTTCGAATAAATGGAATCCTACAACTTGTATTCTTTTGTGACTAACTTCTTTAGCTTAACATAATGTCCTCAATGTCCATGTTGTAGCATGGGTCAGTACTTCATATTTTGTTTTTGCTGAATGATATTTCACCTTATGGACAGACTTTTTACTTACCCGTTCATCAGCTGATGGACATTTGGGTTGTTTCTACTTTTTGGCTGTTAAAGAGTAATGGTGCTATGAACATTCACATGTAAGTTTTTACGTGGACATGTTTCCAGTTCTCCTATGTGCCTAGGAAGGAGAAGTACTGGGTCATGGGGTAGCTAACTGTTTAACTATTTGAGGAACTGCCAGATTGTTTTCCACAGTGGTTGTGCTAGTTAACAATCTTACCAGCAGTGTAAGAGAGTTTCAGTTTCTGTATCCTCGTCAATGCTTGTTATTATCTTTCCTTTTTTGTTTTTTTACAGTTCTGTAACTTTATTTGACAGTTACTGGTTAGTTTTCATCCAGTTACCATCTGTAGATTTTTGATGATGGTGACAGATACGTAGGTAACCAACATACAGAGCTTGTGTGGTGAGTCTTCGTTATGTTTTCTGACAACCGCACACAATATGGGAGATTCCTTATTCCTTTGGCCCAGCAGCTTTGTGATCCTGGTGTCAGCGCACACATCTGGAGCTCCCATCTCCTTCGTGACAAATTTCAGCATTTCTTTGAGTACCCGGGGGGCACGCTTCTCGAAAGCCGCTCCATGGGAGCTCCTGTGAGGGCTGGTGGTGTATTTTCTGGCCACCACCTTGTTGGTGGCGGACTGAGCCGCCTTCTTGCCACCCTTCTTGGCGGGAGCCACCTAAGCCCAGGCGACAAGGACGCTGTGAGTGGAGTGGGCCAGACCCGAGCCCAGCCCTCTCTCCTGGCCAGCTCCGTGCAACCACCCCCGGGGCTCTTGGAGTCCCAGGTCTGGGTGGTGTTATCTTTTTGATTATAGCTATTCTTAGGAATGTTAAGTGGGTTCTCCTTGTAGGTGTTTTTTTTTTTTGTTTGTTTAAAGTGTAAATGTGATTTTTATTTGTCTTTGTAAATATCTGTGTAAATAAATGTATTACTAAATACATTTAGTAATGGTAAAATATCATAAGTTTGCCGATGTATGGAGTATGGTTGATTTACCGTGCTGTGTTAGTTTCAGGTGTATAGCGGAGTGAATCAGTCATACATATACTACATAAAATTCACTCTTTTTTTAGATTCTTTTCCCATAATAGGCCATTATGGAGTGCAGTTCCCTGTGCTTTACAGTAGGTCTGTATTAGTTATCTATTTTATATGTAGTAGAATGTCTGTGTCAATACCAGTCTCCCAAGTTTTCCCTCTCCCCTTTGTCCTCTGGTGATCATGTTTGTTTTCTGCATCTGTGACTCTGCTTCTGTTTTGTGAGTACGTTCATTTGCACCCTTTTTCAGGTTCCGTGTATAAGCAGTGTCATTCATTTGTCTCTCTTGTGTCTCTCTTCACTCAGTATGACAATCTCAAGGTCCATCAGTGTTGCTGCAAGTGGTGTTCGTTTGTCCTTTTCTATGACTGAGTGATATTCTATTGTATATGTGTACCACAGTCTTCTTTATCCATTTCTCCATTGATGGGCGCTTAGGTTGCTTCCATGTCCTGGCTGTTGTAAATAGTGCTGTAGTGAACATTGCAGGGCATGCATCTTTTTGAATTTTAATTTTCTTCATCTCCTTGTAGTTTTGATTTGATTTTTTTTTCTTTTTTCATTTATTTTTATTAGTTGGAGGCTAATTACTTCACAACATTTCAGTGGGTTTGTCATACATTGACATGAATCAGCCATGGATTTACATGTGTTCCCCATCCCGATCCCCCCTCCCACCTCCCTCTCCGCCCGATCCCTCTGGCTCTTCCCAGGGCACCAGGCCCGAGCACTTGTCTCATGCATCCAACCTGGGCTGGTGATCTGTTTCACTATAGATAATATACATGCTGTTCTTTGGAAACATCCCACCCTCGCCTTCTCCCGCAGAGTCCAAAAGTCTGTTCTGTACATCTGTGTCTCTTTTTCTGTTTTGTATATAGGGTTATCATTACCATCTTGCTAACATATATATGTGTTAGTATGCTGTAATGTTCTTTATCTTTCTGGCTTACTTCACTCTGTATAGTGGGCTCCAGTTTCATCCATCTCATTAGAACTGATTCAAATGAATTCTTTTTAACGGCTGAGTAATATTCCATGGTATATATGTACCACAGCTTCCTCATCCATTCGTCTGCTGATGGGCATCTAGGTTGCTTCCATGTCCTGGCTATTATAAACAGTGCTGCGATGAACATTGGGGTGCACGTGTCTCTTTCAGATCTGGTTTCCTCAGTGTGTATGCCCAGAAGTGGGATTGCTGGGTCATATGGCAGTTCTATCTCCAGTTTTTTAAGAAATCTCCACACTGTTTTCCATAGTGGCTGTACTAGTTTGCATTCCCACCAACAGTGTAAGAGGGTTCCCTTTTCTCCACACCCTCTCCAGCATTTATTGCTTGTAGACTTTTGGATAGCAGCCATCCTGACTGGCATGTAAGGTACCTCATTGTGGTTTTGATTTGCATTTCTCTGATAATGAGTGATGTTGAGCATCTTTTCATGTGTTTTTTAGCCATCTGTATGTTTTCTTTGGAGAAATGTCTGTTTAGGTCTTTGGCCCATTTTTTGATTGGGTCATTTATTTTTCTGGAATTGAGCTTCAGGAGTTG